TCTTAAGAAATTCAGATATGCTTCATATCCTGTTGTAATTTGGAGCTAGCTCACATTTAAGTACAGTCATGTGGAAACCTGCTGTTAAAGCATTGTAAATGTATCCTCTGGGGACTTTGTTTTGGCATCCGGCATACATGGTACATATCTATTTTAAGAATTAAAATTCTTGACAAATAAATGAGGAGGATGCCTTGGAATTGTTATTTACACCCATTTATCCAAGTACGTAGCATGAGCAAAGATGGTGTTTTTGCTTGCTCCCCTCTCTTCCTTCCAGTGGAATAAAGAAAAGTTCATATAACAGAATGGGTATTTAGGCTGTACATATCTAGTGCTATACTTCATGTTTGCTAATTGAAAGAAAACTATTTGCCTTAACTTTTTTTATTCAAAGGTTTTTGTGCATGTTCAAGTAGTAAATAATGTCTTTGATGTGAAATACTATGTTGTTGTGAAGTATATATATCCACCGTCTGCATGTGTTTTGTTTTTGTTTTTTAAGATTGTGTTTGTATGAGGGGAAGGTGATGAATAAACGGAAAGAGGAAATAGGAATCAAGTTCTTTATGTATACAATCAAAAACTGTCTTTCAGTGAAACATTAATTGAGGATATTCATGACAATTTTTTTTGTTTTATTTTGTTTTGGTTCTTCTGGTGTGTGCCTCATCCGTCCGTCCGTCCGTCCGTCCGTCCGTCCGTCCGTCCGTCCGTCCGTCCGTCCGTCCGTCCGTCCGTCCGTCCGTCCGTCCGTCCGTCCGTCCGTCCGTCCGTCCGTCCGTCCGTCCGTCCGTCCGTCCGTCCGTCCGTCCGTCCGTCCGTCCGTCCGTCCGTCCGTCCGTCCGTCCGTCCGTCCGTCCGTCCGTCGTCTATCTATCTATCTATCTATCTATCTATCTATCTATCTATCTATCTATCTATCTATCTATCTATCTATCTATCTATGTCCTTTTGTTTAACATGAAAAGGCAAGCGTTTCATTTCCCTTTTCTCCCTTCCTGTTCTGGCACTAGTCCAAAAGAGCTCTAAATGACTTATAATAGACACACCCAAAAAGCAGAGGCAAGGTAACAGATAATCAATCTGATCCAAAAGCAGGCAGTGGCACAACCAACTACCACTATGAGCAAACAAAACAGCCCCTCCAAACACCACCAAAATATTCACCTCTAACAGAATAAATATACAGTAAATTAGCCAAATTTTTAAGGAAAAAAAATCAACCACACACCACACCCACCCACATGCTCCATTCCTGGAAACCAAAAAAAGCAAGCAAGCTAAGAAAGGCAAACATATATAGGCACACACACATCTGAAAGAAAAATAATTACAGTAATAAGAAATTCCTTCCCTCCACTATTCAGTGTCTTCTCTTCTGTGAGTCTAGCACAGCAGCAGTCAGATAGGAACTATGACGTTTACCAGATGACCCTTGCTTAACCAAACAAAGGCTCACATCGTCAGCTCACCAGCAGATATCAAACGAGAAGTTACTTCTCTTTCTCAGTGCCACCAGTGAATTTCCGTTATCCACAACGTAAAAGACTTTATTCAGACACTTGCTGCCAACAGAATTGATTTATTGAAGTGTATTAAATTATATTGGAATCACAGATGTTATTTATTAATTGCATACAATCATCAATATTATATATCTTTTGCCACCACCTGCTCTATCTAAGTATCTGTTTACCTCTACCAATTTACCAACTTATCTCACTTCTTATTATCTCTCTGACTATCTCTCTTGACCTTCTTTCCAACTGTCTATCTTATTTCCAACTGCTCTCTAACCGCCACTCTCACTCTGCCACACCTTCTTGTATTCACTGACTCCACCCCTCCACTCCTCCCATAGGCTCATGCAAATGAGATCTGGACATGAGGGACAGGAGTGACGCGGGGCCTATCATCACAAGAACAAAAATCCAAAAGAGGGAAAGAATGGCTAAAACAACCCAAAGAAATTGGGATGAGTTAGTGCAAAATACCATCAGTCCTATTATTAATGTCAGCCAGTGAATTCCAAGGGGGCATGTTGACAGAGGCAGGCTGCCTGGCACCAGCAGCAAAAATAATCCAAAAAATAGGGAAGTCATTCCCAAATCCCCACCAAATCAAGGAAAATATAAAGAAGCTAACAGTTACAGCTATGCAGCACAAGGTGAGGAGTACCAGGAGCCCACACACTGACAAGGAATGAGTGAAACAAAAATGCCAACCAATTCAGTCCGATTTCAAATTGCAAATTTCTTGCTTCCCCTCCTCATGGTTGTTCAGACTGGATGCTTACAGAAGCCCTGGTGATGCTATTGAATAAAAACCTTCTGAGTGATTTTGCAGACACAAGATGAAAGGAAGGTTAAACAAAAGAGGAAAATATGGAATAAAACACAAAATATTTCTCTCTCTCTATCATTAACACAAAATATTAATATTTAAGAGACTCTCTTTTGGGAATCAATGGCTGAAATCCTATTGCTAAGTATGGCAAGTCACACTAGAAGTGGTCCATTAAATTAATGGGGATTTAATGAGTCAACTCCTGTGTAAGTTTAATAGGTTCAGATGGGCCTATCATAGTTGTGGCTTACTATGCTAAAAACCAAAAGAAATTATAAGATGGAAGACACCAAATTGCCAATGTTCTCTTTGCATTTTGTGTTTGATGCCTGGTCACATACTGAGGAACTTTCTTGAAGATTTTTGGGCTAAAACAGTCCACAGAGCATTAAACATCTTTTTGAACTGAAAGTGGGGTTTCCAGTTTCATTCTTGCTATACGTTTGTGTCTCTTGCTACATATTTCTACATGTTCTTCTAATATTCAGCTGAATGTCTGGCACAGTCTGCCACTGTATTGTTTTATAATATACATGAGGGAATTCCCTGCATGACAGTGCTCCTGTGCCAAAAATCAGTATATGTGGAAAACATATTTGCCAGGAAAAATAAAGTCTTTTCTCTGGGGTGTCAATTTCCCATATAAACAGTGATTTTTGATGTTGGCCATTTTAAAAGCTTCATGTGTCTTGAAATAGTTTTAGGAAGAGTGGTAGTAGATAGTTTTTTGTACGTTTTGTTTGGCCTACCACAGAAGTAGGTGTGATAACAAAAGCACAGTTGTCATCAAAAATTGCAGCCTAATGTCAGACTGCCTCCCACACAACATGTAGTTATGGATTATGTGAGGTTTTGTCATCCAATCCTGTGCTTCCCTACTCTTTTTCCAGTCTTAGATGTTAGGTTTCACAAAAAAACCCACACCCTATTAAATAATATATTTGTGCTTATTAAAATGTCAGTTTGCCTCAAATAACGCTACTAGGTTCTTCCACTTCTCTCCCATTAAATTACCCAAAATAGAGTTAACACAAAAGAAGGAGAGGATCTGCTACACAAACAACTTTGTCAGAATCATAAAAGGACACCCTCTTTTTGGTAACATGTCAGGCATCATTATAAAAGAGCCCCAAGAGTTCATATTTTTAAAAGATCCTTGATTGGTTAGGATAGTCTTTTGGCCTCAGTCAGCTGGATTTCCCCTCACTGAGCTTAATTTATTGTTAAGAAAGCTGATAGGAAAAAATTGATTCATCTGAAATGTGATGCTTCAAATCATTCTGGCACGATGTAATACATAGTTAGTGCACCAAGAGACAGTTCCTTTCATAAAGAAGCTTTACTATTATTTTCACTATTTACTGGAGAGAATTAGAATTTAGTAGATAAAGGGTGGTGATGATTCTTGTAGAGGCTGCAAGAATTGATATTGCTCAAACATGGAAAAACACTCAAGGACTTTCCTCTCAAAGATATCTGGATAGAATATGGGCAATAGCACTGGTGGAAAAATTTACTACTCATCTTAGAGTGCTTAGAGGAGAAATAAAAGAAGGTCATAATAATCATCTTAGAACTGCAGAGCTGAAAGGGACCCTGTGGATGTCATTAAAATTTGGCATCCTTTGTTAGTTTTTAGTTTGGAATTAAATAGAAAGGATGATATTTTGAGAAGTCAGCTGGATTATTGATGTGTTATCTTTTAAGATTAATAAAATGAGTGTATGTATTAAGAATATATAGGAATGGATTGTATTATTTGTATCAATAAACATATTGCAGAGAATGTAATGATATTGATAACTGGGTTATAAAATAAAATAATTTTAAAAGTTTTTTTTTAAAATGTGGTGCTAGAGGAGAGCTTTGCAGATACCCTGGACAGCCAGAAAGATGAACATTGGATCCTACATAAAATCCATCAAATCAAGCATGAATTATCTCTGGAGGCAAACTGAGGTTGTCCTACTTTGGGCACCTCATTAGAAGGCAAGATTCTCTGGAAAAGACAATAATGCTGGGAAAGGTGGAACGAAGCAATAAAAGAGGGCCATTGATGATAGAACATTTTAGAGATAACTCATTCATAAGGATGCCATAAGTTGATTACGACTTGATGGCACATGAGAGCAACTAATATTAGCAAATAGCAAAATCTCAGAGGATGGGACATCGTTTCTTTGGTAGGTCATCCCTGTTCAGTGAGAATTGGAGAAGGGGGGATATTTTTAAAGGAACAGCTGGGGTAATAGTGGCTGTAAACGGTAGCTAAATCTGTTAGGATAGATAAGATTGTGGCATCATATTGCTAGTTTGTCATGCCTAGTTGGCTAGGATCCTTTGAGGCTGAGTAAAGAGAAAGGGAGAATAATGTTTGTTAACCACCTTGAGTACAATTTTTAGTGGAAAGACAGGACAGAAATATAATTACATGAACAAAACAGTCTCGAAAGATCAGCTGGAGGTAGGGATTGAATGCGAACTGCAGTGAACAGCTAAAAAATAAAATTGGGGGAGATGAGTGATTTGATTCTACAGAAATGATAATGTTCATGGTAAAAGCCAGCTCTGTTTTAGTTAAAAATGAAGCAAAGACTCAACTATGAATATACCAATGACTTTTTGGGTGTGTGTCTCTCTCTTTGTTTCAGTGACTGACTTGCAGGAGGAGGGTAAAAATGCTATCAATGCACCAATGTCACCTGCCACAACTGATCTTCATCCAGAAGATACTTTACTAGGTACAGTATGGATGCTATTTGTGAACACTTGTGAACAAATGAAAGTGATTCTCTGTTATGTAGAGAAAAGACTTGATATACTTTTGTCTGAAGCAGTGCCATTGAAAGTAAGAGATTTTTTTCTGTGCCACTAGGTGGCTGTGGTCAGTTCTCAACTACAGTGGGTATAACCATCAGTTGTCCTGTTGTACCCATATTGAATGTAAATGGGAATCTATAGTTATCAGAAATTGTTTCCATAATGCCCTCCCCTTGCTTGCAAATTCACTGTGGTGCTGAGAATATGTGCATTCAGTGCAAGATCAAAGAAACCAGGGCTCACCAAATTAAACAAATTTTTGATGGGCAGATTCTAATACTACAACTCTTTTGGGGTCTTGAGTGCACACACTCTTTAGCTGTACAGCTCTTACCTGTAGACTCTACTCACTGTATTTCATAGAATTGGGACCAACAAATTGAAGGGCCAAATCTGCCCAGAATCCCAATTCATGTTTCTTCTCCCTTCTATTATAATTGTGGAGGCAAAAGAGGAATAGATATTGTAGTTGCCAGTGCGGCCTTTGAATATTCAGGCATGCAATTCATGGAGTGGAGATTGAGACACTGACTGGCTATTCCTGGCTCATTTTTCAAAGTGGCCCTTTTGGAAAACATTCTGGCAAGAAAACATAGTTCTATAGAGTCTAGTTGTCTGCAAAAGTACTGTGTTGCATGATATAACAAAATACATACATACATACATAAACCTTTATTGGCATTTGATTACAGTAAGAAAAATAGACAATGTAACCAGGGAAGTAAAGAGGGGGAAGGTTAGAACTGAAGTTGGGAGGGATGGGGATTACGGTTTCTCATAAGAATAGTTGACAGAAATTCCGCCACGAGATGGGTAGTGGTTGGAAAGTAATCACTTAGGAGAATTGGGAGGGGGTCAGAGAGGGAGGGAGGGAGGGAGGGTTAGGAGAAAAGGGTGTAGCAAGGAAGATCTGAGGGCGGAGTGAGAGGGGCAACGAAGTAAAATATGGGCTACTGTATCTGATTCGCGGAAACAGAGTGGACAGAATCTGTTTGATCGGGGGGTATTGGAGTATCTGCCAAAGTGATAAGCAGATGGGAAGATGTTTAAACGAGCAAGAAGAAAGGCCCTCCTTTTCCTTGGGTCTGTCAGGTGAAAGAGATAACTGGCTGGGTGGCCCAGTAAGGGGGGGAGCCCAAAGTAAGATGGTGAGCAAGTGGGATTTAGATTAAGTAGGAGGGTCCGGGTTTCTTGTTCTAGTAGTTTAGACTTAATGATAAGGTGGGCTTTAGGAAGGTCAAGGTCGGCCAAGGTTTCAGGGGATAGGTCGAGGGTGGAAAGCTT